TTATATAGTAGAGAGGACAGGGTTACCTAGGAGAGCAAGTAAGAGACACGTCGGCTAATCTCAGGAGGGTCCCTCGAGCGTGCGCTACATAGGACAGTCTTCGCTACTATTGCCATTACACTATAGTCATGGTGGAGATCGTGCGTAGGCCTGGGCGTTCGGTTTTACCGAACCAAATCGATTGGTTCTTCGGTTTTTGAAGAAGTTCGGTTCTCAAAAAACTCGGTAACGATCAGTTCTTCAAAAAAACTTGGTACCGACCAAGTTCGGTTTCGGTTAGTTCGGTTCGGTTCTCGGTTCCAACCGAACTAACAGACCAATTATTGAACATGTTACAGTAGAAAAATTCAACAGCATTTTGGCTATTTTCAAGACATAAATGACATGACAACATATGCAAATCAATAAGACAACCAAATAACCACAACCAACATATCAGCACATTCACAAATCACCAAGTTCACAACCCAATTACTGATCTCTTGGTCAATGTCCTCAAGCTGAGACATCTGAAAAAATAATTGAGAGCAAAGTTATTGGGCCTCCGGTTCTTCGGTTCTTCGGTTAACCAAGGGAGGAACTGATTTAACCGAACAAAGTTCGATTCCTAAGAACAAGAACTGAATAGGTAACTGAAATTTCGGTTCTCGATTAGTTCACCGTTAGTTTGGTTCAGTTCTTGGTAAAATTTGCCGATGGCGCTAATCGTGGGAGCAGTCAGCTGCGGATGGGCACGCCCATGTCAGAGTTGGTGGAACATGGTGACTGCGAGTCTACGAGCCTATTTGATTGGCCGGATATAGCCTCGCCTGACTTCTAGGATGTAGGCTCAAACCGTTTGATTGCACGTATTCCTTCCTGGGCCTGGTTCGGCGAGTGCAGCTAATGCTCCACAACCTGGCTCATAGGACACGAATCCATTTTTGGGCGGCCTAGATCGCACATGCAGCGTGAGCGTGTGCTCCGCATACCCAGTAAAGCTTACAAGTAAACCAGATATAGAGGAGCACGACGATGCAGGTGCGAGTGTAGATCAACGCAACCAAACAGCTGCTCTATACATGGTAGATTCGTAGTGCTACCGACTAAGACAACCAAACAACAATTGACTGCATACAGTAGCGGATCCGGCCAAAATTCCACTGATGTCATAAGTACTATGTCATGGCTTAAGTTCACGTATGAGCATCAATTTGCAATGAAAATCTGACAGCAATGAACAGGGCTAGCTCCGCCCTGACTGCATAGTCTGGCTGGCTAACCAAAGGATGGTCGGTAAGACCTGTCGTGTCTTTCTGTATATTAAGTATTATTAAATTGAACATAAAATATATTTTTATAATAAATTTATTTTAAGATACAACTATTGATACTATTTTCTATATTTCTGGTCAAAACTTAAAATTATTTGATTTCTCAAAAAGCAAAATTTGTGTTTATTTTGGGATGGAGGAAGTACGAAACATGGCAACAACATACTTTACAATTCGACACGGCTTAGTGTTTACGAAAAAGTCCAATTTACCTCTCTCAACTATGACGGCCTTTTGATTTTCCTCCCTGAACTATAAAATTGTTTTTAACCTCCTCAACTTTAGAAGTGTTTTTTGCATCTTGTATGGTTTTTATGGTGGTTTTGCTGATGTGGCAACTTGTCAGAGGAGGGTAAATTGGACTAAGTTAAAAGTTCAGGGAGGTAAATCAGACTAGAAATGATTTTTAGAAAAATATCCAAAACTTCACTGAATTATTTTTTAATTTTATTACTTGGAAAATAATACAATTAAAAATCTTAAAAGTTGGTTTAATCTTATACAATTTATAAAAATTTTGTGCGACAATGTGCATGTAGCGCGTAGGCTAACACAGCTATTTAGTGGAACGATCAACATCGACTAATTATAGTAAGTAACTAGATCTTCTACTATCAAATAAACACCAAAACGAGTTCTTAAAGATTTAAACAATTTCAAACTAGGCACCATAAAATAGAGTATGATTTTAGAGAAAATCTAAAACTAGTTGCTAATATTTCGAGGTAAAACAATTTTTTCTATGAATTTTTAAGCTTAAACGAAATTTTAGGATTTTTAATTGCATTATTTTTTATTTTTTGTAAAAATATTTAGATAAATTTTGAAAAATATTTTTATTTTTTAAAAATATTTCTAGTCTAATTTGTTGTTTTGAACTTTCAAATTAGTTCAATTTACCCTCTCTGACGTGGCAACACATCAGCTAAACCACTATCAAAGCCATCCAATATATAAAAACAAATGTTTTTAAATGTTGAGGAAGATTAAAAAGCTGTTTTTATAGTTTAGTGAAGAAGGCCGAACGAGCGTGATAGTTGAGAGATGTAAATTACACTTTTCTCTCAGTTTATGCACTGACACATGGGCTGGAGCACTCTAAACTTTGCACTGCGCGTAGGCCTTAGTTTCCTGTCGATGGGCCATGATAACGACGCACGGCCTTTGGATTGGCAAGTAGTTGGGCTGTGCATGGTTGCCTGACAACTGGCCCTCTGATGACTCTCTCACGGCCCAGACGAGCTAATTAAGCTTGTTCAATGAAGTTACTCGTGTGTTGATTCTATCACGGCCGTCGGGCTCTGCCTGTCCACTGCGTGCAGAGTAGAGTAGAAAATAAGACAAAACACTGAACAAGCTCATCAGGGCAGGCATCGTGGACTCGTCCCGTGACCAATGTTTTGGTGCTGATCAAAATCAAATGAACATCAGAACATGGGCAGGGAAAATTCGAACCAGCAACTGTTCACGCTGAACAAGAAATATTGAGAGGTAGAGCCTTCAGCACTTGTGTTTTCCACTGGCAGACAGGCTCAAGCACTAGGATATATATACAGTATAGTTAGTACTAGGATCGACTGCATGCACTTCAACTCCATTGCTGGCAACCTGCATGATTTGCAGCGGCCACCTCATGCAGCTGGATTAAACTGGCGGGCTATTCCGATGCAAAACAGTATGCCGCCTATTTCAATGAGCAGTACCACAACCATGTCAAAGACGCTGAACAAAAAAAAAAGCTCCATCGTCATCACACTGATGTCAGTTTCTAAGGTAAAAGGGGGGAAGAGAGAACTGGTGAGCTCACCCACACCGGCCACCGCGTCGGAGGGAATAACGGGACGCGCAGGTTGCAGGAGTAGCCGACGACCACCACCGCGTCGCCGTGGACCAACGACAGCTGCCTCCCTTCCATGAGCTTTGAACCGACTCGTTCAGGCACCGGGAGCACTCCGCCGCGGTGCGGTTGGCCACGCACGTCCCCAGCTCCGCCGCAGTCGTCGTGTCGTCGTTGTCGTCGTCGTAGAACCAGCCGCGCCACGCGTCTTCGCGGGCCGTGGACGTGTTGGTGTCCGCGTACGAGAGGAAGCAGCCGGCGCGCCAGACCGCCCCGCGGCGTCCGTGGCATCCGTCGGCGGCGTCCTGGGCGGCGGCGGACAGGCATTCCAGGCAGTTGTGGCCGGGGACGGAGCCGCCCCGAAGCCGAAGCAGAACGCGCGCTAAGGTGCGGTCGTCGTCGACGGCCCCGCCGGACTGCGCGGCGGCGACGAAGCCCGTGGGCGCGGCCGCGCGCGGCCGCCGGAAGCGCGCCGAGGACTGCCAGGACGTTGTTGCGGAACGCGCTGAGGTTGTTAGAGGAAGCCGCACCCGCGGGGGCCGGAGCGCAGTCGAAGAGAGACGGGATGTGGCTGCTCGTGCCTGTCGGCTCCAGCTTCAAGGCGATCCCTGGTTCCGGCGTTCCGCGGCGATCACGTGGACGAGGAGGACCAGCGCGGAAACGGCGGAGGGCTTTGGGCACTCCATCTTCGATGCCGCGATGAACACGGTGGCGGTGGCTCACAGCTGCGCGCCGGCCGGCGAGCACAGGTGTGCGATGAACTAAGATAGCTGAGGTATAATTTGGGAAGATTTAGCAAGAAATGGAGAGGGAATCGGAGGAATTTCAGCGCGGCAGGAGCCCGCGAGGAAGAACTCCTGTTCGGTTTTGATTTCAGTTAACAGACATGTTCGTTACACAAGCCGTTCTCCGAATATAAGGCGCCACAGCACCGACTTCCCTAACTCGGGTCCACTCTTCATGCACTCCGGCTTCTGGGTCCACCAGTCAGCCACTTCCTTCCTCCCTGTTGCCTGCTTCCGCCGTCGCCTTCGCATCTCTCTCGGGGTCATGACAAGGTGCTTGACAGACTAGCTTGATGAAGAATCCATCAGTGGCAAGGAGTCCGGTGGTGGAGTGAGCCAAGACGGCCCGCGGTTGGCCGCCAGTGGTCTTCCGTGTCACGACAACCATCCTGCAACCTTCGAGGCAAAGGCAGTCGATTCATGGAACTGGAAAAATGTTGGGCAATAACCCGGCCGTCTTTGATCTTTCAGCCTTGCACGGTTTGGTTGCTGGGCATGGGCATATGTGCGCGGCGTGAGCCCTACGGCTACCTATACGGCTATATACCTTACCTATTCGCGGCGAACCGTATGCGTCCTCCTTTAATTTGTGCCTGCCTCTTCAGGCATCTCGCCATTTTCGCAAAGTATGTAGGAGCTAGGATGCACTACGGTTCCAAATTCTGAACGCGTAAACGGATCGAGGATGGATGCAGCTAAGCACGGCCGCGTGGAGGGGCCGGCCGACCCGCGCGAGCCTTCCGCGCGCGCAACAAGGCCTCTACGCCATTTCGTGGATTTCCCTGCCGCGCTCTGATTCCGGACGGACGGTGCCATGTTCTCCAACGGCATGACTGACCGTGCATGCACATGAGATGAGACGCAAGCAAGGCTTTCCCTTGACGCATGCATGCTCTCGATCAGTCAAGCTAGCAAAACGGCGAGCGTCGTCGATACACTCACGCTTTGGACCACGCAACCTTGGTCTGGCCGTCCACGATATCGTTGTTCCCCCACGTCGACAGCTCGATCGAATATGTGCTTGTTGTCTCAGTAGGTCGTGGAGTGGCTCACTCGTCGAGGACCATGGCGATAGCGGATACGCCGTCGGCCGCGCGGAGATGCTCTTCAAGCACTGGTTGGCGGCCTGGTGCCATTTGGCCCTATTTGGACGGCACAGGACCATCCCAGGGCCGCGTCTTGTGCAGTCGTGCAGGGAGCCCATCAAGCTCAGGCGTTGTCAGGCCAAGCCCAGCCCACGTATGTCGGGTACAGACACTAATAATAAAAAAAATGTACAATTCTAAAAAAAAAAGTACAAAATCTGAATTCTGAACTTGGGCCTGATTTAGATCGTAAGTTTTTTCACTATCTCTTCATCACATCAAATCTTTAAACACATACATAAAGTATTAAATGTAGATAAAAAAATAACTAATTATATAATTTGATAGTAAATTACGAGACGAATCTTTTAGACTTAGTTAGACTATAATTAAACAATAATTATTAAATACAAACGAAAGCCCTGCCCTGTACTTGTTCCTAGCCACAGTCTAAACGAGGCCTCGTTCCGATTCCTCCGCCGTTTCTGCTTGTTCTTCTTCTGCGAGACTGCAATTTTTGCTTTTCCAATTCCGAATTTCTCCTCCTCTATCCGAGTCCATATTGCAGATCGCTTCACCCTCCGCTACAAGCACCACCGCGACCCTCTGCTCTGCCTCCCGAGTTCGGACGCCCCGCCGCCGCTTCCTTCTCCGGAGATCCTCCCCTCCGAAGTGGAGCCGGCGGAGCGAACACTAGCCTGTCACCATTGTACTCCCAGCGACCCATTCCGACAGAATACTTCCGGTCCCTTGCTCTTCTTTTTTTCTTGGTCAGATTTTGGGTTCTGATCGGTGTGGTTTTGCAAGTGGTGGTGTTGCAGGTGCCGCAGAGGCGCAGAACGACATCGACGTGCTGAATCCGCCGCCGGAGGTGGAGAAGCTCAATCACAAGAAGGAACTCCTCGTCCAGCCCTCCAGCTCCATGGTACTCCCCCACCCCTGCATCCCTCCTCCTGTGTTTATTCTGGAGCGCGCCTTTTCCTTCTTGTCGAGAACATCACTGTAGCACGCTGTGGAGAATGCGCACGTAGATTCCGAGGGAGCTCTGTTACTGCTTCATGACAGATTAGAATCTCGACTGAAAACATTTTCATGCCACTAGATACATCTGTGGGAGAGCAAAAGATGTCTACTTTCGTTAGCATTGGTTGCCCTTGATTAATTTTATTTGCCCAAGAAACATTGTTAGAAAATTTTAGTTTTACTTGCATTTCGGGCGAGCCCCTCAGCCTTGTGGCTCTAGCGTTTGATTTTCATTTAGTTGACCGGCTTATGGCCTGCAATAATTTTTCTGGACTCAGGTGCTCTTGTTGCGCTAGCATGGGTGATGATTTGTGTCTTCAATTTTGCTGTCCATCATACTGACAGTATGATATGTTTACTATCTTTATGCAGGATGTCAACTGCCAGCGCAGCTTGACCATGTAAGATCTCGAGCTTTTGTACTTTCCCATAATATGTTTTTCCTTTACTTCTGGAGTTCTTGTCATGAATGTTCTATTCTATCCTATGCAGCACGGATACGGATACGTGTATCGGTATCGGGAGGATACGGATACGCGGATACGGCAATTTTCTAAAAAATCCGATACGCGGATACGTTTTACTATTTTAAAATTAAAAAGATAATAATGCATATTAAAACTAATAACAATAAAACATTGCAGTCTACTTAACTACTTAAGTTCTATTATTCGTTTTACTATTAATAAATGTCATTCAGACTCGCATCAACTCCCTGTTTCCTCATTTGTTTCACTCTCATCCACATTCCACAACATCAAGCTGCAGAGTAGATCGAGTAGATCGAGAACGGAAAAAGGAGACGCCATCTACTCATATTTGGAGACGCCAGACGCCATCCACTACATACAAAGAAAATCAAGAAGAAATTAAGAAATGCAAAAACAGAGTAGATCGAGAATGGACAGAGGAAGAGGAAGTGCGGACCAAAGAAATCAAGCAACAATAAGTCATGAACTGCAGAAATATAGTAGATCGAGAACGGGGAAGGGGATGAACTCACGGGAGGTCGCTGGATGCCTGGATCCATGTCGCGGGGACAGAGACGTTGCCGGCGGCCAGCGAGCAGGGGCGGAGGCTCGTTGCCGGCGAGCGGGGGCAAAGGCTCGTCGCCGGCAGCCGCTAGCCGCTGGGGATCCGGATCCGCCGTCCGGGCAGCCCAGGCCGGCGCCATGGCCACCGTCGAGGAAGGAAAGGGGCCGCCGCCGCCGCCGGGCACCCTCACGGCCGGACGGGATGCTCCAGGCGCTGGGGCGGCAGATCCAGCCGAGAGGACGCCGAATCCGCGCACCCCCGGGCCGAGAACCCGCCGGCAGCCGCCGCCCCATGCACACCAAGCTCAGGAGCACCTCCGGCCTCCAGGAGAGAGAGAGGGGTGGGGAAGAAGAGGAACGAGCAGGACGAGGCATCACCGCGCGTGTTCGCTGGAGGCGGCGTGAAGTGCGGGAGTGCGGGCGTCGGGGCTCCGGGGCTGGCTTTGGGGACAGAGGAAGGGAGTGCGCGAGTGTTTGTTGGGCTGGGCCGTATCGAACAGGCAGATACGTATCTGCCGACGTACTCAATATTCACGAAATTAATAAAAAATCGGATACTCTTTGGATACGTATCCATCACGTATCGGACGCGTATCCGTATCGAATACGTATCCGATACGGGATACGGCACCTCCCTGGCGTATCCGTGTTACATAGATTCTATCTATTCCCAGCCCCTTGCCTTTTCTGTTTACACCTAATAAGTTAATTTGCTGTGTGATCTTACCATTGCAACAATGGGCTAGGTTTTTTAAGTGATTGTCATTCTATACTGTTCAATGTTTCTAAACTGGATTATACTACTGCACATTGACCTAGTATATAGACTTTTTACAAATTTTTAGCTTATTAGCGATACTATATCTGTTACTGTTACAAGTATTAGCTGTGAACAGTATCCTTGTTATCACCTTTGTTTCTAACGTTTTCTGTGAGGGCAATATGACTGGCATGAATTGTGTGCTTGTTATTTTTCAGAACACCTCTACTGTCCAAGTTTTCCTTGCAGTGTGGCATTTCTATTCAACTCTTCTTTGATTCTATTGTTGTGCATTGCTTTTGATAAGCCTATCCATTCACATTCTCCGGCCATTGTTTCACATCAATAGGTATCCGTGTGTGACTGGCACTTCAGTCATTGCCTTCAAATACAAGGATGGTGTCATCATGGCATGTGACACTGGAGGTTAGTCCCGGTTCATCTGCACAGACAGATACCATTATCACAATGGGAACTTTAGTACTAACTTCTTTTTGCAGCCTCGTATGGGTCTACTTTGAGATACAAGAGTGTGGAACGCATTAAGGCAGTTGGCAAGCATAGCCTCATTGGAGCAAGCGGAGAGTTCAGTGATTTCCAGGAGATTTTACGCTATCTGGATGAACTAACGTATGTTCCTTAACTAATAGGGATAGAGAAAATTGTTCCATAACTATTGGGTGAATATGGAACTTCATAATGCGAACTCATGTTTTTCTCTGTAATGCTATGGATATTTGAAACTCTTCATTGGCCCTTTCTTTTCAGTTTGTCTGATCATATGTGGGATGATGGAAACTCCTTGGGCCCCAAAGAGATCCACAGTTATTTGACAAGAGTAATGTACAACAGACGCAACAAGTTTGATCCTCTCTGGAATTCACTTGTACTTGGTGGAGTCAAAAAGGGTCCAAAGGGTGATGAGAAGTATCTTGGCATGGTATGCTCTTCTTTCAAATGATAGTATCTTACTTTTCACTGGGCACATGGGAATAGAAACTGTTGCCACTAGAAGACGAACAAAGTGAAATTACTACCCCCCACCCCCCAAAAAAGCCCCTTGGTGGGGACTGACTGCTCTACCTAACGAAAGTAGCATCGCGATGCAGAGATCAACTACACATATTCGCATACTATCAGGGCCGGCTCTATAGATTTTATGGCCCTTGGGCAATACGAAAGCAAGGGCCCTTTAGGCTAAATTTTTTCCCCACTTCTATGATCATGAGAAGTCATACACTAGTACTAGTATGAGGTAGATAGGGGCATGTATATATAGTTCATAAAACACAATGTTTATACAATAGAAGAAACTAAAAGAAAAATAAAATGACTATTATGATTACCTCAAATAAGTAAATAATTCTTCAAGGCTTGTTGGAAAAAATATCTTCTGGCATTTCTGGATGCAAAATCATTAAGAGCAATGTCGAGATCAATGTTATCCAAGACATCCTTCTCAGTATAACACATAGCGCTTAGACCTAAAATTGCGACAGAAAGTAAATAACAGGATAGAATTTTAAAGAAACATCACTAACATGGTTACAGATGGTATATAAGTAGATGAGAAATTCGAGATAGATAGATCAAAAATTCAAAATTCAGATCATGGTCAAACGTAGAAGTAGTGAGGTGTTACCTGTATGCGGCAATTCGGGAAGAGTGTCGACAAGTCGCCGCGCCGCTCGCTGCAAGGAGCCACCGCATGGGCTTGTAGGTCTGGGCCTTCCTGCTGCTGAACAAAGTATATACAATATAATATACATATATAACATATACTCATATGCATATACATGAAATTTTTTGGGCCCCCCGATGGCTTGGGCCCTTGGCCGTCGCTATGGCCGCCTAGGCTCAGAGCTGGGCCTGCGTACCATGCTATATCTATTGATGTCACAGATCAGCGGCAACTCCCATACTAAGGGCTTGTTAAGTTCCGTGAAATTTGGGAATTTGGCTACTGTAGCACTTTTCGTTTTTATTTGGCAACTAGTGTTCAATCATGGACTAATTAGGCTCAAAACGTTCGTCTCGCGATTTCCCACCAAACTGTGCAATTAGTTTTTTTTTCCGTCTACATTTAATACTCCATGCACGTATCGCAAGATTCGATGTGATGGCTACTGTAGCACTTTTTGGAAAAATTTTTTGGAACTAAACAAGGCCTAAGTATGGTGTCACATATCGATTGTCTAACTAGCAGCCTTGGGTTCTTTTTATTGATTTTGTGAGATTTAAAATTAGGATTGTCAACATCTTATGCCTAATTCTTGGCCTGTGCAGGTTAACATGATTGGTACCCATTTTGAGGAAAACTATGTTGCTACTGGATTTGGAAATCATCTGGCAATCCCGATACTTCGTGCTGAATGGCATGAAGATATTACTTTTGAAGAAGCTGTAAAGCTGGTTGAGAAGTGCTTGCTGGTCTTGCTGTACCGCGACAGGTCATCTATCAACAAGTTCCAGGTATCAACCCATTAATCATGGTTAATGTGCTTAGTTTGTTGAACCTGTAAACATTCAGCATATGATTACAGATTGCTCTAACCAGCAGTTGAATGACAGATTGCCAAGATCACAACTGAAGGACCAACCATCCACCCACCGTACTCCCTGAAGGCGTACTGGGGCTTCTCCCACTTTGAAAACCCAGCCCAGGGCGCTGTAGGATCATGGTAGATTTATGCTCTGTACACGCTGCATATCAGGCCATGAACTTAGGGAGAAGCAATACCTTTGTTCTGAACATCACTGCAACTCTGCACTTCATTGTATAACATGCTGTTAATGATTCAGGGAATTTAATTTTATGATTCAGGGAATTTAATTCTAACATTTGGTAGCCTGTTGTAAATGTGAAATGTGGATCATGTGGTTACTGTTTCTAGTGGCAATATTTTGTTGATTATGCTGTGTTGAAATGTTAAACCAGTATGGGTAGATTTCCTTGTTTTTGCATCGGCGTGCAACTTTTGATTTCTATGGAAGATTAGTGTTATTTTTTAAATGAACAGCCATCACTTGTGGATCTGTGGTAGACTTGTGGACAAAAAAACTTGTTGGGCTGGCTCAGTCGCTTGTTTCAAAAGTGCTCCGGTTGAACTTGTTTTGCATTTAAAATGAAAATGACTTGATTTTGAATGACTTTTGACAAAGGCTGGTCTCGTTAAGCTCAGTTTAAAAGTTGGGTCTATACAGTTTAGGAGACTAGATAACATTATGCCAATTTTGAAGAAAGCTAAAAAAGGTGCAGTTGGCTCGTTATCAACCCCTTGTGGGAGGTGCAGCCTGTATAGGCAAAGCTTTCTTACACGGCGTTACCAATCTAATCTACCATACAACTTTTGAGGGTGGATGCACTAGAAGTCAAGAACGTTTCTACTTTTTATGAAAAAAACAGTCGAACAGATGCAATTGCCGGGCTCACCTTCCAGGCATCATATATTCAGATATCAGGCCCAATGAGAGTTCCTAGTCCTGGAAGGATATTTTCTCCTAGTAAGGATGAAATATATCCAAAGACTTAGTCTTAGATATGAGTGCTTATAAGACAGCTATTCACGTGCCTGAACCTTGATTGCTTCTGATGGGTTTCAACTTTAGCCTACCCCAACTTGTTTGGGACTTAAAGGCTTTGTTGTTGTTGTTGTTGTTGTTGTTGTTGTTGTTGTTGTTGTTGTAATACTACATTTACATAAACATAATAACCAACACATGCTATGACAAACATAAATAACCGGCACATGCTATGCACGAAGATAAAATCCCATCACGTAAATTCTTAAGGCTGAGCTTCTAGAAATGTTGAGGAATGTCCACGGTAGATCAAGAGTAAATTACATTGACGATTCCTAAACTACTATGACATTCTCTTTCAAGTTCTTTTGAACTATAAAATTGCACATCTAGATCCCTAAGCTATCTATGTACCCTAATCTCAATCCAAAGCAGCCATGTCACAGTTTATTAGCTGATGTGCAGGCCCGTACATTAGCAGGTGCAAAGTGTGCGACTGTTCAGGGCCTCCAAAATTACAGGGCCTCCAAATTTACACAATACACTAAGTTCTTGGATGATAGAAAATTGCTTTCTTCTTGTGTCAATCTAGAAGTAAAACTTAAGAGTGAACGTTCAGATATTGATGGAAGAGAATTATATGTGGAGTTAAAGTTCATCCAAGATCATATTGACAGACCTATGGGCCCTCTTGATATTCTGAAATATTTGAAACAGCATGGTTCTTTCCCAAACGTCATTATTGCCTACAGAATTTTGTTAACCATTCCTGTTACTGTTGCATTTGCGGAAAGGAGCTTTTCTAAACTCAAGTTATTGAAGTCCTACTTGCGATGTACAATGACACAAGAAAGACTCAATGGGTTGGCAACAATAGCACTTGCAAATGATATTTTGGAGATGATCAAGTATGAAGATATAATTGAAGACTTCATTTCAAAGAATACTAAGAGAATGATGCTTTTCATAAGGTCAGTTTGTTGCTTAAGTACTTTTTGTATTGTTTTAGCATCAAGATTTGATATGTTCTGAGTACCGTAAGAACAACGTATATTTGAAGCTTTATAATAAAGTAAAAGTATGCTTTTGTTATATTATTTTCTTATAAATTTTAGGGCCACATCACGCGTTTCGTTCAGGTACCTCCAAATCGTAGGTACGGGCCTGCTGATGTGATGCTCCAGCGTACTAGCTCGCGGTCGACGTGCCCTTTTGCCCTGTTGTGGGGGGCTGCCTTGTCGTCCTCACGCCTTGAGAGTCAAGTCGTTGAGACACAGGGACAAAAACCAGGTGAACCCGATGCATGCCTACAAATGGGATGAGAGCAGGTAACTATGATAACATCTGCCCACTCTCGTTCTCCAACCGTTCCATCTCATTTAATGCATCGATCTAACTCAGGCGTGAACACAGCTAGGGGTAATGCTAAAATCCCAAGCACCTTCCCAAGGACCCGTCCGACTGACCTGGTCCTGTACTCGATGCAGGACTACTTGGCGCCGACAGTCCCTAGCCAAGCACACTCCCACCTTAGGTGGCCGGTCCCTAAGGACCCTTTTGGCTACTACTCCGCCCACAAACACCACTGTTGTTCCAGGTCACGGCTTTCGAACACCGGTTGCCACTCAAGCGAAATCAAGTATGAGAAGTGGATAAAACAAGACTTGAGCGAAACAAGACGAGCAATTTTATTGAACTTGTTTCTCTCTCTTTTACAATCCCTCAGCGGGGGCTATTGATACATGCTCGTAGGCCTCTCATAGGACGTAAATGTCCTCTCAACTACTACAAATTCGGGGAATATTCCGCGCAACCTTGGGCTTGTTCGCCATTTGGAGTGCCCACCTTCCTTGGATAACGCCGGCCCGGGGAGGCCCGACCGGCTCCGCCTTATGTCGCCTGCCCAACCGACCGTGTGGGGGGGGGGGGCTACCGACAGAAGCTGTCGGCTATGTGGAGGTGGGCGGTTCCTCCTTTGGCGAAACCTGTAGAAACTATCGACCAAACTATTAACAGCTATTCGCCCGAGCAAATAGCTGAGACCGCCTGTGCACCCCCCTTTGGCGGAACCTGTAGAAACGATCATCCAAACCGTTAATGGCTATTCGCCTAAGTGAATAGCCGAGACCGACTGCGCGCCCTCTGGCGAAACCTGTAGAAACAATCGGCCAAACCGTTAACGGCTATTCGCCTGAGCGAATAGCCGAGACCGACTGCGCGCCCTCCTTTGGCGGAACCTGATCCCAGCCGCAGAGTCCACCCTCTTGCCATAGCAAGAAGGGAATTCTAAAAATGGGACGGCAAGCGCCGCCCTTGCTTCGCTGCGGCGAGAAGGGGGCTTGATACATCCTTCTCTTCGCACATGGTCAGCCCTTTCGCCCGTTATTATAGCGAAATGCTGAGTGCGCCGGAGTCCAACTCCTGTTATTTCGCTCTTGCGAGGAACCAGGACGGCGATTGAGCCACACAGGGTGCCCATAGGCGGGGCACGCCCCCAACATCAGCCCCTCGAAAATGCATGAGCAGGCTCAGTCCGAGCGCATTTGCCTTGCGAATTTATGGGACTGTTGCAGTGGGGCTCGTACGCCGTCCCAGGCGAAGGTTGGAGGTCTGTGCTGTTGCTATACGCGTATATGTGTGTGTATTTTGTTGTTGTTATTGTTAATATTGTGATGATGATAATTTTTTGCACAGTGTGTAACTATTTTTCGGTTATCGCGCCGTGTAACTATTTCTTGAAATTCGAACCGTTGCAGCGGTTAAGCGAACCGTCGTGTGTCGCTTCCTCGGTTCGCGCACCAGGCCCAGCTGGTGCCTATATAAGCCCCCATGGGTCAGAGGAGCCGTGCACTCTCATCTTTCCTTCATCCTGCGCTCATGAATATGTACAAAGATCTTATCGAGAGCGTGGGCGAGGAGTCGGACACCCCCATGATGCTCCTGTTATTGACTTCATGGAGTGGCTAGCGAATGAGCTGGCCACCGTGAGCGATCACATGATCGTTGGGCGGGAGTACGCCTCTTTCGTTTCCCTCCGCGCTTTTCGCTCAAGCTTTGGAGGAGTGCGGGTGTGATCATCTCAAGAAGTTCGAGGTCAAGGATCCGTAGAATTATTGGAGTGCCCCTAGCCGCGCTCATGAGGTTGGTTAGAGGTTCTTTGAGGGCTTTTGGCGCCCAGGAGACAGGGATCTTGGCCTTCTTAGGGCTGCTATGAGCCGCGGCAAGGTTGGCGTTTATTTCGAATACTTGTTGTTTTCGCTTTGTTTTTGCTTCCGCGATATGCGGCGTGGATAATTATTTGCGCCTCTTTGGCGTGTGTTTTGCAGTCCGTTGAAGAATGTGCAGCAATCAAGGAGAAGGTGAAGAAGTATATCGCTGAACGAAATGCCCTTGAAGGTATGGCGGGAAGCGGTTCTGGTTATACAGAGGCCCCGCCTACTCTAGCTGCTGAGGTTCCAGACGGCGAGAACGCTGGCACTCCTAAAGAAAACATGGCTCGAGATGGGGTAGATAACAAGGAATAGATGTTTGTATCTTTTGGAACACAATGTTAGTTTGAATGTTTGTAAGACTGCTTCTTTTGGAACTCTTTGTGGTTTCGGTGCGCAAGTTCCGGACAAGGAGCCTGCGCAACCTTTGGATGCTTATCCTCTTATGATTAATTGCAATGGCTTTTATGTTGGAGGCGCTTCGTGGTTTTGCCACCGCGAGAAATTTCTCGGGTCTAGTATGACTGGTTTTTTGAGGTTGTGATTCCGGCGCTATCTTCGGAAAGAAGGATTGCTTAATAGGTACTTCTATTCAGAATTTGATCCGTCTATTTTGGAGGAGTGGAGGGCCCGACGTGGGCATTCTGAACAAAATCACGGGGAGCCCTCGGGGTCTGGCCTCAAGGATCCTAAGGAGGAGCCAGTTGAGGATATGACATTGGATCTTGAAAACCGTCGTTATAGCTTTTATCTTCGCCCTACGAGGGGCGAAGTGTAGTTTGGTGTATGGACATTACCTAGTGTTGGTAATCTCATATGTTGGGTCTTTGTGTAAAGCTATTCGTTTATGTTGTTCGTTTATGGACATTACCTAGTGTTGGTAATCTTGTATGCTAGCCCCTCGGCGTATCGCTTAGCGAGAAGAGAAACGCCGTCCCCCCAACCTTTAGGGTG